ACCGTGGACGCCCGAGTCGTCGACAACCGAGTCGCCGACACCCGAGTCGCCGACACCCGAGTCGCCGACGACTGAGTCGCCGACTCTTAAGTCGCCGACACCCAAGTCGTCGACCCTTAAGTCACCGATACTCGATTTGCCGACCTTATCCACTGTCGCTCTAGTCGCCGACCCTTATGTCGCCGAACTAATATCCCGTGACTGAAATTCTCTACACCACAGAAACAATAGTTTAAATGGATGATACGCAGCACGAGCTCGACTGGAAATTGGGTAAAGGTCCCAAGGCGAAGCCGAACATCACGAGTGCTGATCAAGACCGCTCTGTTCTAAGTTCTTATTTAAAATCAATCGATCACGAGTGCTTATCGATATTTATGGATCAAAATTTCAGATCTAGACCGATTGATCATTATTGATCTCGATCGGTCGTTATTGTTAATCGATACTGTTCGATCATTAGTGATTATCAAGATCGGTTGATCACAAGGGCCAATCGATACCGATCGATCACACGTTCTGATCAAGATCTGTCGATTACAAGTGCTAATTGAGACCGATCGAGCAGTAGCGCTGATGTTTTTAGATGGATCTTTAGTCCTGATTGAGATGTGGTCCATATACATAATTGATATTAAATTTACAAGGACGTCACGTGGCATACGCCACGACACTTTTAGATATTTAAGTTTAGGCCTTAACTTTTGATTGATTTAACATAAACAGTGTTTAAGACCCTTCTAGACACGAGTTGACTTCTGTACCAGGTTAGATTATTGTCCACCCGACGGCAAGGTATTATGTATGCTCTAATTGAGTGCTATACCTTGATTGTTTGTCCAGGGATCGATAACTTTCAAAGCCCTCCCCCCAATGCGATAGGACGCAGCTACAACTAAAACAACCTACGGTTGTAAAGAGACCGACTCAAGTGGTTAGAACGTCAATTTGATCAACTATTTGCGATTCGACAAAGCGGTCTTAGATGAGTAGCTCATACCGATTATCACACCACGGACATGCCCGATCGTGTAAGGATCTCTGTTCGATCGACCCCAAACCAATCTCAACCACGGTTAAGCTCGACTATATCTCAACTTCACATAGAAGCGTGCGACCTGCCTTGCCAATCGGTACACAAGATGAGGAAGGCTAAATGCACGGAAACGGGATACCCCGTCCATGTTCTTTCGTCCGGGCGCCGGTGGAAGGGTGGGATCACATCACAAAATTTGTGAACACCACTCCACCAAAGGTCCATCATTGGCAAAACATGTAATTGAAGTATCTATCGGCCTCGTATGGATTCCTTCCACCACCACCCCGGCTCATCTTTTATAAAATGGGTGATGTAATTAGTGATATAGAGAAATTTACTTGTAACCAATCTATACGAGTGGGATTACCGGAGGTAGGCGAATTTGAGATCGGCAAACTCGAGGTCAGCGACCCAAGTGTAGGCGACTCAAGTGTCGGCAACCCAAGTGTGATGCAGGGAATTTCCGAAAGTGTTATTCCCTACTTTCGAATTGATTATAAGAATGACGAGCTCGACGAGAGAAGCCGGAGCGCATCGAAGTCTGCGGATCAAAACTCGACGAGTTAAGAATCGACGAGGGAAGACTAGACTAATCAGGACTCGACGAGGGAAGACTCGACGAGTAAAGTATCGACGCGAAAAGACTCGACGATAGAAGACTCGACAAGTCAAGACTCGACGAGTGAAGAGTTGACAAGTCAAGGCTTGATGAGTCAAGTCTAGACCTGTGCAGACTCGACGAGTCAAGGCTCGTCGAGAGAAGGTTTGAAGAGAAAGCGAGATAATGAACGGTCCATCACACTAGGTATCAGTATAGGAGGATGAGAGGAACGACGGAGAACCACTTAAGACTACTTTTGAGATCACGGAGAGAATAGGAGATAATCAATACAGTGCAGAATTTTCTAAGTCCAAGACACGCGTACACCCATGGTCCCTGCGCGGGCTAGATTATGCCTGCCGTCGAACCTCGAAAGGCATAGCTTGTAGATGTATCGACTGGTAGCGCCAATAGTTTAGGAAGGCCCGGGTTGGGTAACGCTCGCTACCAACGAAAGATCATTCTCGTCGCACGGCGAGCCGGTGACCCAATAGACGGCACCACTTTTAAGTCTAGTCGCAAGGCTTGCCGGTTACCCAATAAACGGTACCGTTTTTATACTCGCGAACGGCGAGTCAGTGACCCTATAGCCAGCACTGTTCAAAGAATCGTCGAGTGACGAGCCTGTGGGTCTTTAAACAAGGACACCGTATTATTCTAGTCAGGCGCATACTGAGCCCGGTGAACTGCAAAAGCGCGTACTGCGTCGGCTTCCACCCGTTGGTGTGAAGTCACAGGAAGAGAAAGGTTTAGAAGCTGCTGAGCTCAAGCAGACTTCTGGAGGATTGATTGTAAGGACAGTTTGGCATAAGCCACAACTGAACCCGAAGGGGCGAACCGCGTAGGGATTTATCAAAGCGTACTGGCCCGTATCGCCGACAAAGCTCGGCAATTGTTGTGTTTGTATGTTGAGGCTGTCATACTACAGAATTAACTAACTAAGATCTATACCACAAATGGATATCTTGACATCTTTTATAAACGTTCCTTCTAATTATGTTAGTGTTGAAGACACGTATATAGAAACTGAGATTTATGTGCTGGCAGACATTCGTTTACGAGATGAGTCTATTACACATCATTTCGCCACATCGGGTCAACTGGATATAAACCTGATTGTTTCTATTTAACATATTTACCATACTTAGTAAATATAGAAAAAGCAGTACTGTTAAAGATAATATATAGCGCCGCTCTACGTGTTAGTTGATGTAGGTCATTGCATCAACCGCATTAAATTATCAACCGCTGCTAAACGAGCGCAATTGGTTATGGGCGTTCAGCTACAGCTTCCGTTTGCAGATAATTATAGTTTATATGTATCGAAAGAGGTTTCATAAAACACAATAAACCACATAGAATACAGATTAACTTCTGCGTTTTCTTAAACGTTTTCGCGTAAGAGGTTGAGCCTCTCTCTGGACGTACAGTGATTGTGAGGATTCAGCGTACCTGCTTACACTGTGTCAGAGTAGGTGGTCTGTAATGATCAGTACAAGCGGAGGGCGCCCCGTTTCTCACACATCAACAACATTCATCGAGCTACCGGTCTGTCCATATTGGAATCAGCATGTCCTTGACGGAAATGGTTCCTTTTGTCAATCTTCTATCACCCCAGGTCATCGATTCTTACTGGAGGGGAAAATACATGAAGTGTCATCAGTTTAAATTTACTCGCGTACGTGTTCCTCGATTTCAGGACGCGTAATTCCCATAAATACTCTCGATCGTATTGCCATGTTTTCAGCTATGTTGTGATCGTAACCTCACAACGTCTATCAGATGTTATGTACCATTTGCGGTTCCATGTGAGCACAACCCAATTCACATCATACATTTCGACCCGATATCGTGCACTTATCGAATGCCACCTAATAAGTACCCATTCATCGTTAGCATCTGGACATGTCCTCATGCTCTTATCTTACCCAAAAACAGCTCTTGTTTATCCGACCGCGTTCGAAGTATAAAGTAACGCGCCACGCAAAAAAACATACATCGTCTACCCGTGTCTGCTCTATGAATTATTAATCACTCGTATAAGGACTCGCGACGCAAGCTCCATATCGTGTCTTCCGGACTCATGGGATATCCGAGATTATCTCCTTTTCCAATTCGCCGTTTACTAAGTTGCAATCCCAACTACCCCTCGGTAAAAGTGGTTAATGAAGTCAACTCAATGTTTATCTTAAAGCCGCAAAAATAAGTGGATGGACCGTCAATGAAGTTCTTTGGTGCGTATCAATTATGACACGTGCTCTTGTGGGCCCAATCGATACGGCAACTCTCCCGACAACCAACCGCACGGCATGTTCGCAACATACTTCCGCCATTCTCAACGGCCCATGTCACATATGCGCCAAGGATCGAGCATATATCTCTTGGACTCGGCCTAGCAAAGCCATACCTGAGCTCCACCATCTATTCCGTTTGGAATATGATCAGCATCATACTGATCGCTAGATCTTACATTGTACATATCGCCTACCGCTACACACATTCATCTCATTCGTGGGCGATAAACGATACGCTCAATCACTTGTGCATCCACTCTTACGTTCTTGCTCGTTAATAAATCCAAATCTTCTCGAGGCGTTGTAACAAAGTGAGAAGAACTTCACCTAGTGATGATAAGATCCCTGGTTCAAAACCGAGCTTCGACTTTACCAAGACGTGTTTAATCGAGTAGTGCTTCGGGGAACATGCTTGCACGTTTTGGAACGGCTGAAACTGTGACCGTTGCGTGCGAAACCTGCAGTTTCTTGTTGTTCATCGCGGTAGCGCCATAGCACAGTCGCGACGGACAATCGAACATCATGCCGCTCTTGCTTCGACACCAATGCTACTGTGAACTCTAGGGAGGCTTGTGAGATGATTTTTGGGAAAGCATAGCAGCGAGAATGTCGAAATTGTCGACATCTTCGTCTCACGGTTGTTTACATGAGCTGCAGCGCCGCACAGGCTCAAATGGGTAGGATACGACACTCACGAAGGTTAGCCCAATCACTTACCTGTATCCTGTACGTATCGGAGAACAATTTCTCTCACGGACGTTTAGCGTAACATGTATCATGCTCTGTTTGCCGAGACGGACTGAATTAACACAATGGTCTTTATGCCATGTGTCGCAATGGCAAGCTATCCTTATTGTCGGCTGCATTTGTTGCGTGTTCATAGTCGGGCGGTTTCTCTGATGCATGTTTGACGCCATGCAACTTCGTAACGAACGCAAAAGTCGTGTTTGTATCTAGTGGTATCGCTTATATTCTTTGGACGGGTATTTGTATCTATGGTCCAGTCGTGTTGTACGGATGTGATAAATTTCTACTGACTACTACTACATGCGATCACGTCCGCAGCTCAAACCCGGAGCTCAAAGTCACACGGACTTTGAGTACTGTTTGGTAACTCGAGCTCTGGCATAAGACATGCTGTCTTCATTGCTACAGAGTTCTTTCCAGCCAACGTGAGGCTATAGTGTAGACGGCAAAGTCCCTTGATCTGGCCATTCTTGTTACAGTCCGGCAAGCGGCATAATCGAGCCCCGCCGTGGAGTTTGCAAAGGCCTTTCGATTGAGCCGACTTTTGACAGCCACTGATCGAACACCGACGACCTCCGCCGTGTGCGATGCAGTGGCCTCCGCCTTGGTCACTGATTTCGCATCCAGGAGTCGTACATCGACGACCTCCACCATGAGCTTTGCATAGACCCCTCGAGCGAATGCCTTTGGTGCACCCCGACATGCGGCAAATGCGAGAAGCCGGTTTTTTCTTCTGCAGACGAGTCGACCGACTCGTGCGTCGGTAGTTACGGCGACTAGCTGCCGTCGGCGAAGTAAAGATCATGGAGGCGTAGCCTTCGTTAAGGGTAGTAGGATTGCCTCGACCGTTCTTGAAATTAGCCACCATGGGGAAGAACACCGTGTTGTTGCGAGCGGCTCCTGTGGTTTGACTCACGGGGAAAGTCGGGGCACGCAGAGACGTGGCCATGTTGGGTGAGATGGTCCCAATTGAAGCAGATGGGATGCTGCCTCGACGTAGCGTACTGTGGAGCTGCGGTGTAGACGGAGCGGAAGATGCCGAAGTTGCGAGGCCGGACGTCGATGATAGCGCAGTGCTATACGAAGCGCTGCCGTTTGGCGAGCCGAACCCACAGGTGGTCGGCGACGGCACGTCTTGCGGGGACATGATTTCTTGAAATATCTCGTCCAGCATGTCTTCATCGCTGAGACTTTGGGTGAGCGAAGAAGAGGGAGCCGGTGCTGTATATTGGGCGTCGTCGTAGGTTGCAGTGTTAGCGTCAGCTTGGAAGAGCATGAATGTGTATTCGCCGTGCTCCGGTGCATTAGATTTCCAGTCAGTAGTCGGCATCATGGCGTCGAAGAGTATCGAAGTAGCTGCAGCTTGAGGGACGCCTGTAGCTGAGATGCGTCTGCTAGTCCTGGGAGAAGCTCGGACTTTGTTACGAGACAGATGAATCGAAAGTGATCGATCGGTCGGTCGATCGTTTGCTCCGAAAGAACAAGATCGAGGGACGTCCACAACTCCCCGCACGCTAGTGGGTCAACGTCTCCTTGTTTTTCTTCATCTTCTTCTTTGATGCTAAGGAGGCGGTTCCGCCATAACGGCCACTTTTGCATCGACAGCAGCCCCGTTTGTTTGATTGTATCTGCAAAAAGGGACTGCAACGAAAGTGTCAGGTATCTGTTCCGATACTGAAACGTTGGCAACTTTCGGCCTGCACGGCACTGCTACGTCGCTCAGAACAACCCTTTGTGCGTTTTTGAGGTGCTTATGGCCTGACAGGCCGCGTACTCTTCGATTGACATGGACGAGTGCGTTAAGGAACGCAGAGTTGAGCCCAGCAGCTCGTACACGCTTTGACCATGTGGCAACATCTCTTGGCGATGAGCTACGCTACCTCTGCTATTGTTCTTCCTCGACCTCCTCTACCACTTCGCCCCTCTACGGAGTTTGGTGCCTCCGAACCGAAAGCACTGACTACCGCGTTGTAGTGCTCGCCAGAATCATACCTGGTAACGGAGACTTATAGGGCCCCATGGACATTCGAGCACCAACGAACGTCCTTGACCTCGCGCGATTATCCTGAAGACGATGCCAAACATTTGTGCCATTGAGGACATTAGAAGCTCATGTGCTGGACAGCTGTGCCGCAGGCAGCACAAGCCGTTAATCGATCGCGTTTTACCTACTAAAGCCAACATGGCGAGTAAACGCTTTGGCAAAAGCAGTCCTGTTGCTCGGCAATGGATCATCATCGTCAAGCTCGCCTGTCTATCTCTTCTTCTCCGCCTCTCTTTGACTACGAGGAGCTCCCGTGTGTCAAGGACTATCATACATGTGTCTGTTTATCTGCAAAAGAGAGGCACATAGTCCGTCGTTTTTGTTCCCATAACGACAACAACGTCGCCCTGCAAAGCCTGAACAAAATAGCCAGACGAGGGTCCCTCCCATCTTCCTCCACCGAGCGTCACACGGAACGTCGTGACACGAGACAAAGCGATCCGCACGCGCAGGAGTTTCGTCGAGCACTAACGTACAAAGCCGAAACGATAACGGCCGCGTTAAGCTCTTCAGGAGCCAATGGCGAACGCGTGAGCAGCCAGGGAAGAAGTGGTCTTGAAGTTTGCGCGTCGCTTCGTGGGCCAGCAGCAAACGCCGCCGAAAGATACATATAATTCCCGTTTCACGAACACGGAGTAGTCCACGGCAAAACAGACGCAAGGCGTTCGAGCCGAAACGGTCGAGCACTCGCTTGTCCGAAGTGGCGTTTGGGGTACTTTATCGTAGGAGGAAGTGGGGACTTGCGCAACGACAACGGACCAGACCAGCAGTGTCCAGACGAATGACGACAGCAGATATCTTTTGTCTAGGCGTTTCGCTTGGAGGCAAATGAGGTGTCCCGTTTTCATTAGTCAGTGCCACGGCTGCTTGTTCATAAGGCAGAGAGGACGGCATGTGCACGACTGGGCTGGTGATCCCGTAGCTCGTTCGTTGGCTAGCACGGCATCACATCAAGTAAGGAAAAATAGCAACGACGACGAGGTCGAAGTGAACTGGATGTAAGCCGAAACTGCGACCGGTGGAATGTGTTGCCAACTGTCACTGGACGTGCCTTTACTTCCACTGTGCTAAAGCGTGGGCAAATCGAGACGCGCGAGAATGTCGCGTGCTCGCACTATTGGCCCTGTTGTTGATAGCCATTGCCGCCATCCATATCACTCTGTGCTGTAACCTCTCCCCGTAGCTCAACCAGCACATGATCAAGCAGATGTAGGAGTATTCGTGGGTCGTGACTGAAGTGTATCCGTTGACGGGCCTCGACGACTGGGTTTGTGTACGTAAATGTCCACGCCCTCCACCTTTCTGAACGCAAAACTGAACCCAGCCCTCCTTCATCGTTGTTGCCAACAGCAACAGTCCTTTGCACCTCAGCAGCTGCAATGCAAGAAAATAGTGCATCCGTTCGCACATGATTGGGGACAGGTCTCAGATAGACGCTGCTGAATCGGGTGAGCTTCAACGTGCCGAAGAGGGCTGTAGCCTCGTTACATTCCCCCCTCTCACATGCACGCCCTATGCTCCTTCACCGATAGTTGTGATACACCACTCACTTGAGTCGTCAATCGGGTGTTCCAGTGCATTCTAGCACGTTCGTATCAGGACCACACGGCGGACGACATTACGTGCAGACAATGTGCATGCCCACGCAACCTGGCCGACAGTCCAGACACAAAGACACCTTCATCGAACAGACAGACTACGTCGTATCCAATACCAACGTGCACCGCTTGCAGCAGACATCTTCCTCAAAATCCACCCAGAACGCCATTGAGTGCATCACTAATGGCGTACATGCGACGTCGTTCGTGCTTCACGTGCCCAATGCCGACACTCTGGCCGCCGCTAGCAAACGCCATCATCTTTTTTCCTCCGGCACTATCAAGCTCGCCGCGCTTTTCGTAGAAAAAGACGTCGTTCACAACGCGGTCAAGCGCTGAGTAGATATGACTCGGTACACCGATAGTCGCCACAGTGTCGAAAAGAGCTTGCTCCGAAACTAGCACGCTCCACTCATCTTGGTATATTACGTTGCGCTGCAACAATGGAAGCGCCACATCAATGTCCGCGGCCATCAGCTGCGGTCCCAACAAGTCGTGAATCGCCATTGCAGTACGGAAGAGAAATACCGTCCCGTCCAGCAGAAAGTTGTCGAACACACGGGCTGCTGACTCGAGCGGAAGCACTTGCAAAAATAGTGTCTGAAGCCAGTTCATTAGATACATGGAGCAGGATAAGATACCAATCTCCCGTAGATGAGCGCGAAGATGAGGGTGCCGCGAGTTCAGAAAGGCGTCGAACAGAGTGTAGTACACGTTTGCAAGATCGGCATCCAGCAGGTAAAAGGTGAAGAGATGTTCGTTCACCATGAGGTTGGCCAAACATTGGAAGGCCAGATAGCGGTCCTGTGGCATGTGTAGACACAGCATTGCAGCCAAGTACGACATGCCTTGGATGTATCCCAGGTCAGGCCGGTAACATGCATATGTCTCAAGAACCTCCAGCAAAAACGCGTAGTATGGACCGCTCGAGTCAAATAACTTCAGCGACGGGAATGTACGCGGTAGATCCGTGTCAATCAGTGCCAAGGTATGTTCGCGACCGCCATCCACAGTACCATTCTCTTCCGTCGCAACTCGGTCCTTCTTGTAGGCGGTTGCCCGTCGACGGTATATCTTGAACATCTCCGGGGTCACCTTTAGCTTATTACCAATAGCCATGGGCCACACGCGAGCTCGAATCGATGGCGGAATACCCTGGCGCCACAGCGAATGTGCCAGTGGCGTGTCCTTGTTTTCCTCCCAATCGCGCAAGATCCGCGTTCGCCAAAGCTTCTTAGCTCGCCGCAGCTCTTCCTCCTTCACGTGAATGGCCTCGCGTGGAACATCATCGAGCTCCATTGCTACACCAAAAGAAGAGCGTCGTCGATGCCGAGGTACACTGTTGGACGAGTTCAGCTTGTCCAACGAACTTCGACCACGATACAAAACATCTTCGCTCGCTTCGCTACCCTCCGAAATCTGCCTTTGCGTCCTTGGCACGTCCAGTCTATACGCTGCTGACACTGTTCCTGTTTCTAGGTTTGCTTGAGGTATGGAAGAAGTGTGTCCATTCAGGTCGTGACGCACCTCAAGCGCAATAGTGTACTTGTGACCGCAAGCCACAATGAGCTCAGCGTCAGAAGAAAAACAATCCATTCGTTCGGGTCTGTCCTTATTCGCAGTGTGCCCGAGACCGCATGCACCGTACGAGTTTAGCCCCCAAGCAAACATCACGTGATTCTCTGTTGTCGAGATAGAGTGGAACGCGCCGCAATACACTCGTGCCAATCGATCAGGAGAACACAATGCGCCTTCAGGTAGCTGCACACGTGCAGGTAATGGCTGATAAACATCTCCAGTCCCAAGCTGTCCGTACTCTCCTAAGCCCCACGAATATAGCTCACCGCTAGCTGTCAGCACAACGGTGTGCGTATATCCACACGCAACATCGACAATTGCTGAGCTTCCCGCCTGCTCACACAACCTCTCGACGCAGCGTGGTACTACCTGATCCTTATCCACATAGCCCAATCCACATTGCCCTTCACCGGTCTTGCCCCACGTGAAGAGTCGTCCCTCACGATCCAGTGCCGCTGTAAAGTTCCAGCCGCATACCACATGCGCAATACGCGTTCCTTTCGGAAACCCTAGTATCGGGTGAGGTGTGTCTCGCCACCTATAATCACCTAGTCCCAGACGACCATTTCGCCCTCGCCCAAACACAAACACAGTGCCCCTCGTAGTTAACACAGCCGTGTGCGCCCCGCCGCAACTAGCGGTTGTCACGCTCTCTCGCAGCAAGCTCATAACTTTGCGCGGCACAGCGCGGTCTCGCATGTCACCATGTCCAAGGCGCCCGTCTTCACCGCTACCCCACGTATACAACTCTCCAGCATCGGTAATAGCCAACGAATGCTGAGCGCCGCATGCGATTGTTGCAATTGTCGTGCGATGAAGAGCTTTTTCCAGCGCGAGCTCTTCGACGAGACGGGGTGCAAGGAAAGATACTGTCGCACTACGTTGAGCTGATTCACTGTCATTCGGATTGTTCTTAATTGCCATCGTAGCAGCTGCAGCCTTTTTGTCTTCATTGTCACCGTAGCTATAGACATCGCCTGTTGATGTCAGGTAAAGCAGATGCTCGCCACCACAAGCCACTTGTACAATCGGCTGCCCGTTGAGCAAAGACACCTTCTTCGGACGAAGTACAACCGGGGTCCCGCTTTCTAGACTAGGTGGCCGCCCCCACACCCACATGTAGGAACTCGGCTCCTCAACATCCTGACCAACTGCAGTTTTATCCACCATCTCCACTTCCACTTCATCGCTTACTGCTTCTCTGGCATCACTTTCCTTGCTTTTTTCCCCGTCCTTGCTTTCTCCACACTTATTGTCATCCATACTTACACCAGCGTCGTCAACTTCATCGCTTGAAGCCACGTGATCAATCACAGTGGCTGCATCCGCATATGCCTGCACCTGCATGTTTTTCTCGTGACGGCTTTCACTACTTGACGCTGCATCGCTTGCATCAATATCATGTACCTCCTTCGAGGACGACTGGCTTCGAGATATGCTTATACCACAAGAGCTTTCGCACGCTCGACGACCCGTTTGCCCTGCAAATTCTGGCTCTGATTGGCTGCGCTGTCGTGATACCTGCTGCACTTGATCCAACCCTTGCATAGCCGCCAGCATTTTATTCTGCAGTCCTACAAGCGCCGTCATACTCGTCTCTACATCCTCTCGCAACTTGGCAGACAACGTCTCACGCTCCTGTTGGAACCGTCGAACCTGTGTCCGCCTCGCTAGACCTTCGTGACCCCAGTTACTGTGTCGAGTCCAGTACGTGTGCTTTACCTCCGGCAGCACGTCGTAGCACAGTGCGCCGAGCGGCTTCAGCACTGCATCTTCACATGTTTGCTCAAACTCGGGCTGGATCGACCCCAGCACTTGGCTGAGTGCTCGTACGAGTCGAGCAGCGTGCGTCTCGCTGCCTCCATCCTGTTGTTGCTTCTGCTCATGACCATTGCTGCCACTAGCGTTCTTGCTGCTACCAATATCCCGTCTTTCCATCGCCACGTCCTCGTTCGTCTGCGCAACGGCACAAACTAGCGGCATCTCAGCCACGCGCTTGTACTCGTTCAGTACAGCAGCTGTTGCGTCCCACCACGCAGTCGTTGTCTGCATATAAGCGCGGACACAGTGCCATAGTGCGTTCAAATTGCTCTCGGCTTGAAGCACATCGTTGCGGAAGCACGTCGACTCGACAGCAGCACGCTGTCCTGCTCCCTCTCCTTCTCCTTCCATGCTGCTGCCTGGTACCTGAGAACGAACAGAGGTAGAGGACACGTCGTCGTCGTCGTCTTCACTCGTCGTCCCCACTCGCGCCTCTTGGCTGTTTAGTGCTGCTGCTGCTGCCCACGGCAATGGTACCATTGTCAGCGGTACCCTCGATGTCCAGGGTACCGTTTGCAGTGGTACCATCGAAATGGGCCGGACCCAACCCGGCAGGTCGCCCGTCACGGGTTTCGGTGGTCGATTTCGCCCGTCCGCGAGAAAAGCACAGAAAACGTGCATGTCCAGCGTCGAGCTGTCGTCGTGTTGTTGTTGTTGCTGCGATTGCCGTGTCGCATGTTGACGCCGAAACGACCCGACCACCTGCTGGAAAAACCGCTCGAGAGCGTGGAAGCGCTGCTGGAGCTCTGCAGCCGACAGCGGAACGTCCCCCTGCCGCGTCTGCGTCCGCAGTCGTTCGACAGTCGGCACGTCGTGCAGCTCCGCCGCAAGCGCAGCCACCGCCGAGCAGCGACGGTACACGAGAAAGGGCACGGTACTGGACGTTGAGATACGCAGTACGTACACGACAAAAGGCCGATGGGGGTCGAGTGGGTGCTGCGCCCGGTAGCAGCCGAGTAGCTCGACGGTCACGGGCAGTCCCAAGTTGTTAGTGCTCATCGTGCACGAGTCGATCGATCGGTCCATCGACGACGCGGTCGACTGGCGGATGGGGTCTAGAAAGGGCAGGGTCGGCGGATCATGCGGCGTAGCTTGTCAGACTTGGTAGGTATGGGATTATACAGGATATGTAGTTTGTGGGTGCAGGAGATAACACACACACTCTCTCTTTCTTGCGCGCGCGCCACAGCACAGCTATGGACGACCAGAGTGCGGAATGGACGTTGACGTTGCGGCAAGTGTTTCAGGACGTGCAGCTCCAGGCCGTCGAGAGCAGTCGCTACGTCCGTCAGGCGTCCGGTGCTGCGCATCAGCAGACGCTCGTGCCGGCCGTGCGTCGCCTCCAGACGCTCTTCCGCGACGAAGTGAGCGACGGCAAGCGCCACGTGGTCGAAGAGTCATTTGTCGTGTTTCTCGACGAGCTGTGGGCAGCGGTTGTGCGCGTGCTGGTCACGCCAAAGGTCAGTGACGTTGTCGTGCTCTCGATCGCGTCGCTCGTGGGCGCGTTCCTGCACTGGCAGCAGCACAAGGGCAACGAGTGGAAAGGCACGAGGGAATTGCGGGCCGAGCTGCTCAAGCGCCTCGTGGCAGCGACTGAGGCCGACGACCGCGTCGTGCGGCTGAGGGCGTGCCACGTTCTGCATATTGTCGTGAACGCGCTGGACGTGGCCCACGAGGACGCAGAAATCGTGACGCTATTGCGACACGCGATGCTACGACGACTGCGGGACAAGCTGACGTCCGTTCGTATTCAGAGTGTCTATGGGCTGAAGAAACTCCAGCAACAGCAAGTCGGGGAAGACGTCGACGGAGATGGAGGCGGCGTCGACGGAGAGGACGAGGTGGCTCGGGAGCTCCGGACGCTCATGGTGGCAGACCCTTCCAAGTGCGTATCACTTTGTTTTTCTTCTTCTCGTCGTTCTTGCCGTGTGTTGTGTGTACCGGGCTGTTTAGAGCTACGACTGACGGCTATTTTGTTGTTCGTTTTTGTGTGTTCTTCCAGAGACGTTCGGAAAGCTGCGTTGCTGAGTGTGACGGTAAACAAGACGACGTACCAGAACTTGCTCGTTCGCATTCGTGACGCGAGCGAAGACGTGCGCTTTGCTGCGTTCCATACAATTGGCACAGAAATGCCATTGGCTAAGATTCCGATTCATGATCGCGTGCATCTACTGGATCAAGGCTTGCAGGATCGTGCTGCGCGCGTGAGGAGGGCGTGCGAGCACATGGTTCTTCAGAAATGGTTTGTGGAATGTGAGTCGTCACCGATGTTGCTGCTTAAGGCATTGGACATTGAGCAGTGTCCCAGTATCGGCTCAAAAGTGTCGCATTTGCTGCTAAAGCACTTTTCGGAGCAGCCGCGAGCAATGTTGGGGAATAAAGGCGTTGCCGAGTTCAATGCGTTGGAGTTGCTGTCGGAGAACAGTGATGCGTTCAATGCCGAGAGCATCTTCTTTTGGAAAGAGCAGTGCTACTACTACCAGAAGATCGACAATGATCCGGACAAGGCGGCGGCTCTTGTACCAAACGTGTCGGATTTCAGCAAATTGCTCGTGACCACGTGCAAAGCCCAGAGTGACGTCCTCTTTATCGCACAGCAGTTGCTGGAATTTGGACATTTGCTAGACTTTCAGGATGAGTTTGGACGACGCACTTTGCTGGACTCCCTGCGTACGTCTGATGTAGTGTATGTTTCTTTTATGTAGCTCGAATTTAAGTCTGACGATATGTTTGTTTGCCCAGAGAAATTGCTGTGCGACGTGGAAACTGACAGCATGTTGATCAAAGGAATCATGGAGTTGATGGCCTTTGTATACTCTGGAAGCTCTGAGCAAGAGTTTATCCAGGTCGTTGCTGAAACTATCTCTGACATGTACGATTCTGTGGAGGCAAACAATCAAGAAAGCTCTCCATTGCAGCACGAGAACTCCGAGGTTCCTTCTTCGCAACAGGAGTTGTTGACTGAAAACGAGGCACTAGCGCTGAATTTCGGTCCTCAGTTGCAGAAGCTGAGTGAGGAAGAGCGCGAGGCAGCTGAAATCAAGTTTGAAGAGCTAGAAAAGCACTTGGAAACGCTTGAGTTCGATTCGGAAGAGTACAATCAAGTTCAGGCGGAGATGTTGAAGCTGGAGACGATATTGCAAGACCCGAGAGTGCTCAGCTGGCTTCGGTGCCTCGAGATTGTTGCTCAGCTACTCAAATTGACGTCTCACAATTTGAGCGATCCTGTCGTGGAGGGAATGGGTCGTTACATTTTGCCTGCGATTGACAGTGATGTACCAGCGCTGCGTGAAGCGGGTCTGGAGAACCTTGGACTGTTCTGTCTGCTTGACAAGCGTGTGGCTGAGCGCTATTTGATTGTGTTTTGGCGCGCATTGAATAACCCGGACGAAGAGAGCGAGGTGAAGCACACGTGCGTCCAGGCAATTCTGGACACGACGTTTAGTTTCTCGGATCTCCATCCACACATCTTTGGTGCGAAGCCAGCTGACGATAGCAGTGAAGCTGGACGAGAGGAGAGCGCCCATGCTGCTGACGAGGATGCAGCTCACAATGGCGATGATGTGAGTACAAATGAAGGCGTAGACCAAGATAAAAGAAATAACGAAGGCACAGAAGGGGGCAGCAAAGCGGCGCCAGCAACGGTTACCGAAAGACTGGATCTCGACACCATATTTATTGGTCTGGCCCAACTGATCACCGTGGATGACCTGGACCTCCAAAGCACCATTGTCGAAGGCTTCTGCCGTTTGTTCATGATGAACCGGATCGATAATGTTACAGTGCTGGCTATCGTGCTCGAGACGTACTTCAGTCCGGAGCTTCAGAGTGTGCAGAAACGTAGCGAACATGGCTTCCAGTCACGCTCGCTCCAGTTGTTGAGCATCTTTTTCCCAGCATTCGTGATGGCCACGACAGCAAATTGTATGCTGCTGGAGGAGGCCGTCACGCATTTGATCCAAAAGTCGATGGAGAAGGAAGACATGGAGAGCGATTCGATGCTTGACTTGGGTGTTTGTGCTAAGTACGTCATGCACCTGTTGAGCCACAACGAGCAAGAAGAAGAGGCTGCTCTGCAAGCATCGGGTAAGAAGCGAACGAAGCAAGGGGGGAGACGACACTGTGCGCACCACAATCGGATCGGTATTACGATTTGCCTAGAGATGCTTGCGCTAGGAAAAGTGGCCGCGCTTCCATCTATTCACCACGACGTTGTGACGACGCGACAAAAGGCTCTTCTCAAGATGATCGTTTGGGTGGACGTTACGCTAGACGAACAGCGATCTGCCGCGCTGTTCAAGTACTTGTTGCAAGAAACCACCTCGTTCTGTTTTAGCTCTCAGAAAGGGTTGCTGCGAAGTGCAGAGGCCGTGTTGAAACGCATTGTGGCGAGCTTTGCGGAACAAAGCACAAGCCAAAGTGACGACCAGCAGGTAGCTGCTCTAGAACAGGATCAGGCATGGGCTCATGGTCTCGTAGGAGAGCGTGAAGAAGTGCTGCGCAAGGTGCTCGTGATAGCAAGTGCCGAGCACGAAAAGTGGCTGAAGAAACAGGAGAGAGAGAAGAAGGCCCAGCGACGAAGGACGGCACGGTACGTCTCGTCTGACTCAAGTGACTCGAGCGAGAGCGACGAGGACGGCGTCAATGAGCCAGCAGCTGCGCCCGCACGCCGCGAGCTCTCGTCCCGTCGGAGCAAGACAGCGGCTGTGAACCGAATGCAGGAGAAGGAAGGCGAGTTTGACGCCAAGATAAAGCAGGCGCTGCTGGACGACAACGCGGACCCGGAGGACGACGAGGACGAGTACGACGAGGAGGAGAGCGAGAGTGGGTCAGGTGGTGACGAAGAAGAAGGAGAAGAAGAGGAGGAGGAAGCATCTGCGTCTGAAGACGCTTCGGACGACAGTGAGTGACGCGGTGACATGTTGCTGAAGTTGTTACGCCGACGTAGCGCCTGGAGCAGCTGTTTGTCCCTTGCGACAACTTCCGACCTTGACCAGTCTTGACAAGCATCTGCTGCGTCCATTTATTTCCAGGGCCACGGATCGAGCGAGTGGTCTCACGTCGAAAAAAGTCAATCGGCGCGTATCGAATCCTTTCGTCGTTGTGGCCACGACGAAACCGGCTGGACGTGGCTGTTTCTTGCCTCTTCTTTTTCTTTCTTTTGCATGAAAAGAAAGCGTCAAGTTGGACGATTGCGGATGCTTCCTGCATTACACATGGCTTCGATTGCTTTCTACGTCAATCACAGCGTCTCTTTGGTGCTCTGACCGAAGTGACTCGCGGTCGCAACATCAGGTTCGTAGGTGTCGTCGCGGCACCTCCCCATCGCACTTTGAAACGGCTCTTCATACAACCGCGCAGTTGCGACAACCCACATCTGCACCCAACCCGCATCTGCACCCAGCCCGCATTGCCCGTGCGGCAGAGACGCCACCGGCTGACAACGGGAAAGAGGCGGAGCAAGAGACACGGAGAAAGAGACAACACCCCTACATCAACACCTATATATACTCAGACACCCCTACATCAACACCTATTTATACTTACGTACCGACATCTATCGCTCGATCGGGCAAGCGAGCGAGCGAGAGGGGGGGGGGGGCGGGAGGGGGGAGAAGTGGACTCGAGTGCTTCCACCCATTCAGGAGCTCTGCACCCACTCCGGAGCTGTACACTCGCTCATTTCCACGCCCAAGAGTCGCTCGCTTTCTGCTGTCCGTCCGCCCGTCCGCCTGCCTGCCCACATCCACATCCGCATCATGTCCCCGTCGCCCCTGACGGCCTACAGCAGCAACAAGTCGGCGTACGGCCTCCCGCCGGTCTCCTCTGGCGACGCGCCGCTCAGCGCCGAGCGCGCCATGATGGACGAGATCCGCTCGAAACTCGAGCGCACGCAGCGTCGATTGGCCCGCAATGCGCCGAGCAGCGCGACGAGCGTCCCGTCGTCCATGTCGCGCAAGAGCGTCTACAGCTCGTCGCCCTCGCCCATCGAGCCCAGTAGTCGCCGCAGCAGCACCTTTCGCAGCCCTGCCGTCCCGTTTGACACTGCGCACTCTGGCGCGTCTTCAAGTCAAGCGCCGCGTCGTCAACACGCGTTGCCTTTGTCGTCGAATCGTCGACCGTTCGGCCCAACGAGTACAACGACAACGTCGTCGTCCGCGGCAACGACTGACTTGGCGTCGTCCATGCGATACGCGCAGTACAAGAGCCGGTCCAAGTACGCCGCCAGTGCCGCGACGTTTGACACGGACCCATTGAATGGCGGCCCGCCGGTCATGTCGACGCCGTACTTAGTGTACTCGAGCTCGCGCGTGCCCATGTCGAACGGCAGCGCGCGTGCAGACGGCCCGAGCAGCCGCGAGGGGCGCGCCCCGCAGGCGCTGTCGACGGCCCCGTCGGCCCTGCGGTCGGGCAGCGCCGCGCGGCCGCCCAGTTCCCGCGTGCGGTTCCAAGGCCATGAGGCACGCGACCGCCTCGACGCGGCGCCCGAAGACGACGCGGCGCGCGAGAGCGAACGGAAGCGGCGGCAGGCGCTCGTGAAGGAGCGGGAGGCGCGGCACGTGCGCCACCGCGAGCAGGAGCTCCAGCGGAGTTACGAGTCGGGGCCGCTGTCGCCGATTGCGACGGCGACACGCGGCCGCCGCGCGGACAACCCGCCGAACTCGGCGATTAAGCTCTCGGCGTACGACGCGATGGCGCACTCGACCGTTGGCCAACGGCAGCGGCGCAGTTCGATTGGCCCGTCGCCGCCCAAGTCGGACATTCAGGTGGCGGCGTTCGACGAGGTGCGTCCGCGTCGCAGGAGTTCGCAGGACGCGGACGAGCACGAGGAGTTGGGGAGACGAGACGCAGTGGATGCGATGGCGAGAGGAGTGGCGACGGAGGCGGCTCGCGAGCGGGCGCACCGGGTGGCCGAGCAAGAACGGGTCAAGACCACGAGTGGAAAGGGCGCGCCATTGCGTGTCGTCCCGAGGAGGGGAGTCGAGCGAGACGACGTCTACACCGAGTCGGACGACGACGGCGGCGACACGTCTGCGTACGAGACGGACGATAGCTACGACTTTTCCGACTTTGACACCGACGCGACGGACGTGTCGTCGAGAAGACGCGTTGTTGCGCCGAACGCTCGTGCGGTGGAAGCAGCTGATGGCGACGTCATGGACCTTGGCGAGAAGAAGCGAGCGAACAAGTGCGAGCAGGTTGACGAGGACGAGGGCAGTGCAAGTTGTTCGACCACCGACTTGTCGACGGTGGAGGGAAGCGAAGAGGAGCTGCAGCCAGTGTCGAGACTGACTGCGAAGGACCTGGCGTTGCATGCACTTGGTCGGGCCAGCACGCTTTCTGATCTCGGCTCGCCAGTATCGTCGCTGAACAGCAATGGGGAATCTGTGACGACAAAGCAGACAGCAGCACAGAAAGCATGCACGCCTGCGCCCACGTCGTACACGCCGACGTCGTCTGCTTTTCCTTCAGCTCGTGCACTCGAGCGACGACCAGTGTCGGCCACGACAGGCCGTTTACGCGACAACCGGATGGCACGGGCAACGCCGCCGACGTCTGTGTCGAGCTACGTCCGCCGATCGCGATCTCGAGCGCCCATGGATCTGAAGAACCACTTGCCGCCCTCGATCGGCGTGCTATCGGGATTATCGAGCGGATCATCGACCTTTTCGATCGACCCGTCGTGCTTTTACGAGGTGACGTGGAAATCGGGCGAGTTTGCGTTCTCCGTGCAACGCGTTTACACTGACGAGGACGAGTACGAGTTTGACGACCGCGCGGACGAACCTCAGCTGTTCTTGCGAATGTTGTTGAACACGGAGCGCAGTGTGTGCAAAAGCTTTCGTGATGTGCGTGTCGGTGACGTGCTGATCCGCGTTGGCGACACGAACGTGTCGGATCTTGGACTAGAGGGGTCCGGGACAGTGCTGACGAAGTTCTTTGCGAAGCTGATGGCACAGACCCCGATCCGACTCACGTTCCAGCGAATGTCTCCGAGTGATTGGGAAGGGGGTGTCGAACTGTGAGGTGGTTGAGTGGAAGAAGCGGTACAGTACGTACGCGCTGTTTGGATGGCGAAGTGAAATGCACGGAGCAGCATGATGGCAGTACAGTAAATTGATGAATTTTGGCTTTTGGTTGTTTGGTCGATTGGTTGGTTGCTCGCTTCCGTGGTAGTTGCGTGTGCCGGTAGTGGCCGACGTACGGAGACGACCCCTTGCAAAAGCATCGGATCAGACGTTGTTTAGTGGTCACGATGGTACGTGTACCACAGGTTGACATTTGATGCAGAATGCACAAGTTGCGACGCTGTCACGCCATTGTGGTCGCAACAAAGAAGGCGCACGCACCTGACGCACCACTTCCACCCGAAATGAACTCGGGTCTCTTCTGTAGTCGAAAGTGGAAAACGATGAGTCGCAAAACGACCGGACGGTCACTTTCGAGAGCGACGACTCGTAGCAGAATGCTGGACGGCTGTCAACCTTTCGATTGCGTAACTTGGGGCTGAGCGACTCGTATCCGACGCGGCGTTGCCGAGCGGGCAGAGGTCGCGGGGTCGATGCTTTTGGTGTATTGTTGCATTTTGGACCGTGCAGATAATGCTCAAAGTCGCTTTGGCTATCGGTCATGGCAATCAATGAATCACTTGGCAGCGCATACGGCTATGTCGCTTGTGGTGGTGGAAGCGCTCGGGTTTCCGTGTTGTTTGCCCGACTGTTGAGTTTCGGCTGGCACGGCCTTGTTCGGAGTGACTGAATGATTGTATGATCTCTTGCATTCCTTTCGACAAATTGCGAGTGCTCCGAGCAGGATTTTCACTAGATCGTTGCTGTCTCACGTTTGGGGCGACTGGATGAGACCTTGATACAGCTCAGATGTTGTAAGGATCTGCGCTAGCCCATTGGACGTCAGTGACAATGCAATGCAACTGGATTCACGTTGGATGTCAGCTAGCGATATGATCCTTTGTGATTCTGCAGCAAGGCGGGGCATGTCAAGTCGGACGAAAAATAGTCCGTCGGTCGAAACCCACACGTTAACATCTGGACTTCACATTGCAACATCACTTCAGTTCAGCCAATATGCGCACCTGGATGTGAAAACGGGTCTGCACATACCGTTTCTAATCGAGATCTTGCCTGCTTTCTTTGTTCGGATGTAGCATTTGGTCTCCGAGCATAGGACGCTTCGATGTCAGCGGCTATAAAACCTCACTTTTTCTCACGTGTCGCAGCAGCAACACAAAACCAGCGCGCTCGCATCGTGGTCATCACGGCAACAGAAAAAAGACGTCAGTAATCTCGTCGAAACAGCTCTCGCTGACAGACGACTCGTCGGACCGTATCCTAACAATAGCGTCACCGCACCAGCGAGAAAGCGCAATAGAGAGCGCTAACGTCTCGTTCCTGCACCCATTTGCCAAACAAGCGGATGACCCGACCGTCGCTGCTGCACGCCACCTCCGCGCCGCCCATGAGTGCGCGCGACGCGGCGTACTGGCTCGCAGTCGCTTCGACGTGCTCGTTTTTACGCACCACGTCCGCCTCAACGGCCGCTACCGCGTCCTCCACGCGCCGTCTCGACGCGTCGAGTCGTCTATCCCACCAGCACAGCCACAGCCGTTACAGTCACATTTACAGTCACAGTCATTGCAGCCAAAGTCGCCCTATTGACCGTCAGTGTCATGCCGTCGTTGTGGCTGAAGAAGTGTTTGAGCATCAGCGGTATCAGATGATTGTGGGATGGGGTTCCAGTGGCCATTTACTGCCTCTGGATCCGGACAAATACGTGCGCGTTGTCCGTCGTCCACTCCCTCGGCGACACTTGAGACCGGGACAGAGGGGCCGGACGAGCGACAAAGAAGCAGACGAAGAAGGACGAGAAAAGCGACGAGAAGCAGACGAAGAAGGACGAGAAGAGCGACGAGGAGCAGCAGAAGAAGGACGAGATGCAGCAGCAGCAGACGCGAGCAAAGTGCTGCTCGAGTGGGTTCCATCGTCGACGTTTCCGGATATCGCATTACCAGACGTAGTCGAGCGAGTCGGCGACGCATTTGCTGCTCGTGGAGTGAAACTACGGAGCCGGTCGGCTGCAAGTGCAATGAGAGACTGTCAGGACGTCGCGTCGAGCACAGGAACCGGTACAGCAGCAGGGGGTACAAGTGGATCTCCTGTGAGATGGGAGTGGACGAGTCCGTGGCATCTAGATATACCTGCGGATAGTCCACAGAATGCAGTGGACGGGTGGCAATATGCCTCGAGTTTTGCCCAGCTCGGACCGAGACCGTCGCTCCGTTCACGTGGAGTATCGATCGATGCTACGAGTCCCGCACGTTTGCACGCTCGTGGCAACACGTCGCCGTCGTTTTCCGATCGAGCTGCTGGCAAGCGACTACGCGTCCGACGACGCAAGTGGGTGCGGTTCCGACGTGTATGCTCGACTCGGAGTGGATGGACTGCTGGCGTTCCTGCTAGTGCCTTTGACGACGCGTTCCTGGACTCGATGAGTGGCTGGCTGCGCAAGCGAGGCCACGTGCGCAAAAACTGGAAAGCACGCTACTTTGTGCTGGACAAGTCGGTTTTGCGCTACTATACGGATGCTTCGTGCACGAAGCTCAAAGGTGAGGTGCTGCTCTTCCATCCACAAACGCGCGTGCATTACGTGGACGTGCATGTCGCGGGTGGTCGCGACGCGGCGTTCGCTATCCAAGTTGGTCCGGAATACACGTTGCTATTGCAAGCTGCTCAGCTCTGTGACCGCGAGAACTGGATGTACTGCATTGAAGACGCGCTGCTCTGTCGGGACTCGTACTACACACAAAGTAGAGCAAGCGGACGTGGACCGTACTTTGATCTGCGCGAGAGTGTAGCGCAGCGCCGACTGCTGAGTGCAGAAGCGATGGCGCTCGACGGCAGTTCGTTCCACGATGCAATGTGCGGCATCAGTCATGTGCGCGAAGGAGCAGCCAGTTGCGAGCTCAGCGATACGGACGACCTGCATGACGAGTCGTCTTACGGACGAAGAACAGCTCAGCAAGGATACCGGAGCACGAACAACAGCGACGTGCTCAAGCTCTGGGCTTCGCTTCATGCCAAACCAGGTGGCTTGCTGACTGCTGTGAGCTCTGCGTCTCCGACGATGCGCTCGCTGTTGGGCGTGTGCGACCGACTGTTTGCCAGCCCTGCGATGCATGCACACATTGGCAGCTTTCTTGCCATGTTCCGCCAGAAGTACGACCATTCCGCTGCTTCGTCCGTGGCGGCTATGAGTGCGTCAGCTTGGACTCGGCTCTCGGAGCCCTGGACTCCAGTCGAAGGCAGTGGCTACGGCACGGACAGTGAGCAAGACCTGCGCGAGAGCTCTCTGGGCTCATCGCCGCACGAACTTCACAGCGTCACGACGTTGCAGGACGCTCGCAGTCTGTTGGCGCTGAAGAACTATCGCTTCTTCTTGGAACGGTCGCTGGGGCTCATCATGGACCACCTGTCGGACGCTGTGGACGTAGGCTCTGACCGAACGCTTGGCCAGGCTCCGAATGACGCGAAGTGTGCGCCGACGGATGATGAATGGGCTCTCGTGCGTCGAGCTGCGTTGTGTAAGCTCGAGCGGCGCACGTTTATTCCGCTGCAAGAGATCATATACCAGCTACTGGGCGACGACATGGGATCTCGACGTGGTAAACGGCAGGAAGAAGAGCGGTTTGAGCGGCTACGGGCGTCTGTGGCCGTCCAAACGCAGTGTTTCCTGGACGTGCAGCCGGCACAGCAGTCGCCGTCGGATTGGAAATCGGCGATCGCTCTGATGGACTCGATGGACAATTACTCACTGCCGTCCGAGAAGGCGGCTGTGCTCGTGGAAGTGGCGCGATGTATCTACGAGACCAACGCGAGGGAACACGACTACGAAGCTGACAGCGCGCGTGGCAGCTCGAAGCAGCAGCAGACACCGTCGACGCCCATGTCTGCCGATGACTTCCTGCCTATCTTCATCTTCGTCTTGGCCCGTTGCCATCTGCGCAGTGTGATTGTGACGCGCCACTTGATCAGCGAGACGATGATCACGGCGTTGATGATGGGCGAGACTGGGTACTACGCCACGATGCTGGAGGCCGCGATCGGATACATTGCAGCGTTTGGCGGGACGGTCACGGCCGGCGATCTGGTCAGCCGAAGCAGTGGCCGTAGTGCTGTGACTGCCAGCAGTGGCTTTTGAGCTGGCGACGTCAAGTACGGACTGGTGCAAGTCGTCGCGTCGTCTCGTGATCGCAAAAGTGCTGACCTGTTGCGGATCTTCGTCCGGTACGGAGCCCTCAGTCGCGTCTGTTGATGGAGCGAAGAAGCGCGGGAATGAATGGGTCAGGAGTTAGGCTGACACAGTGCTGAAGCGATTGCTGCTAGAAAGTGGATGGGGTATTGGTGCAAGTGGGTAGAGCGCAGGTGCAGTTGGGTGCGTCAGTGCTCGTGCAACGTGAGCGTCCGATAGAAATAGCAGTGGCTGTCACGTAGGACACGCACCGAAACATAGAAACAGTAGTCATGATCTAATCAGATGCGGGTGGCAGAACGCGCGCGTTTGTCGTTCCAGTGCGCTGCGTCGTGTCTCGTACCGCAATCGTTTCTATTGTGCGGCATCGTCTTTCGTTTCTTTCAGAAATGCCTGTTTGCCCTCTAACTGTCGGGCAAAGAAAGCGACTCGTAGGATATTCGCTGCATGCCCTATGAGGACCGGCAATACAGCAGTAAGTGGTCACGAATACAGCGGTGAGCGTCTTTTATCATCGCTCAGCATTTTGTAACGGATTATTACACGTCGTAAGCACGAGACATGTCGTCAACGATAGGGCCATGCCCACGATGTTGCAGCTTTCTCTGCAGGATATATGCAGCCTTGACGCTATAATAGCGCAAGTAGAAAAATCGCAGCGAAGGGCTCTATCCTCGCTTCCCACTCGAATATTCATGAAAGCGCACTGTGACACTTCATGTCAAATTGTGACATTGTGGTGGAATCACTCATTTTCACCTTTTTTGCACACTATTGTCAAATTGCTGACCATCATGGACACAGCCAAAGCGCTCTTCGTTGAGCAGCTCGTGGCAGCGCTTCGGGAGAACGCTGCGCCTTCTAATAACGCGATAACACTCCCATCTTCTCCGCCGTCCCCTTCTGCCGCTTCTGACGCTGGGCACAGCTCTGAAAACGCAGCAGAAGACGAGAAATCGACGCAGGAGTACACTGGTCTTTTCCTGTCTGGAGCCGCTGCAACCGATCGACACAGTCGCGAGCAACTGGCGCGAGAAGCGTACGCACAACTACAATATGACTATCCGGAGGTTTTGGACGCTTCGATTGAGGCCCTGGCGGAACTCTATCGACGCATACCAGCGGAGGACTCGTCGCTGGAAGTCGCTACGGAGGTTCCGATTACAGCCACGTTAGTGGACGGAGTAGCATTTCTAAACAGCTATCACGGACCTTCTTCGATGGGTTCGAGTAGTCGAAGACCGATCGCGCCAGGCAGTGAGGTCAGTGGTTTGCTTGCAGCGTCGTTGCTGCTACGAGTCTTCCGCATGTGCTTGGAGACGCCAGACGATGCTCGCGTGAATGCGCTCTTGTCGTTATTGGTACTGCCTGACCAGTCGGAATCGATCGAGCAAAGGGACGTATCGGATGCTGGAGGGATGAAGCTGGAAGGAGTGAAGGAAGAAGAGTATGTCGAGAAGTATGCAGCTCAAGAAGACCCGGACGACTTGAGTGAAGTGTACGAAGGACACTTGCCAGACGCAGTGCGTGCTCAGAGCACCCATTATATGATTGACCGACATACAGCAGCCAAGTCGGCAGTTTCACGAACGGGACAACTGCAGTACTTGGCTTCACGAACGTTCTCGTCGTCTTTCGAGAGTGTGTCGATGGAGAAGTGGGAGCAGTGGCGTCTAGATGACGACCTTGTTGCGATTATGAAGCTGCTTATAGACCACCCAGAGACTGAAGGCAACCAACACGATGCTGCATCGGTTGCGCTGTACGGTGTACGTGGTGAGTGGAGCAGGTATTTGTACGTGTTGCGAGATCGCGTTCTGCGTTTCCCTGGCTCAAGTCGCGATGCTCTGTGGCAACTACAAAAGCTTGTTGTGTTCTTCCATGGTCGTCAGTCAGCTGTGACTGCTGCAAACACAGTGCAGCAGTGCGCCCAGCCGCCGCAGTACGTAGTCTATTGCGTGTTGGCTGAGTTAGCAATGTCTCCGGAGTTCCATCAGGGCACAGTCCAGCGCGCTCAACAGAGTTTAGCATCGATCGTCCAGGAATTGATACCATTCATTGCGGAGGAAATCCACCAACTGGCTGCAGCGCCGAATGCCTTGACTCGGCCGACAAAGATAGCTGAGAGTGGACAGAATAGTGAGAATGTTGCTGATGACGATGGTGGAGGTGACATGCTCGTTGCCGTGGTCCTACAGCTGCTTCACTTCATGTTATTCGCGTCATCGAATGCAAAGAGGACCACCGAGACACTTCACGAGAGTGGCGTTCTGCGAACACTGCTCATGCTTCTGCCACCAGCAAGTGACTCACGTGAACGACAGCAGTCGCGCTTTCAAGACAAGCGGTGGTTTCCAGCACTTCTTCGTTTCTTCGGTGAGTGCGCGTTGTGGCATGCAGGTTTTGCCACGTACGTAGCGCGTGTTCCAAAGTTCACTGCAATACTACCGATGATGCGAGAGCAGTGCGTGGTCGAGGAGCTTCTCTTTGCGCTCGCAATCTACCACCATGAAGTGCAGATACGGACGACTTCAGCCGATTGGACGCTCGATGTTTGGAAGACGTTTACATCGGAGTCACTGTTTCCGCTGCAATGTGAGTCATATGTCGATGCAATGAAGAAGGTAAGCTGTGAAACTATCGTGTGAGACGCAGGGACATCATGTGTTAATACTTGCTGTCCATGTAGCTGCAGGACGCTGTGTTCTTGCTGGCATGTCTTGAAAAAGTGCTGGTCAGCTTGAGACGTGCAATGCAAAAGGAGCTTCAGTGCAGTCTGCAGCAGATTTACTCTGCTTTCAGGCGATCATTCGAGTACCCGGAGTACGTTGTTGCAGACGCCGCTCGTCTGCAGCAGTTTGATCCGCAAGAGAATGGTGGGACTTCGCAAGACATTGACGCCGCAGAGAAGAAGAAGGACCGCGGTCAGGTGGAAGTATTGCAGTTTACGGCATTGCGGAATAAACTGCGGCAGAGCGTGAAGTCGCTGTTGGCTGCACTCTCGTTGGGCTCTGCCATGACCAGCACCGGAGGTCGCGTATCGTCCAAATTGGACTGATGGTCCACGGTAAAGTGGAGCAAGACACATGGCACTGAGAATGTGACATTCACGCGCATCAGAGGAGTGTTTGCCTGCAGAGCTCTGGATGATCTGAGCAGATGACCGAGTGCAAGTCTGCAAGTAGTCCGGTTGACCCACTGAACAAGTGATTTTCCGGACAGAGACCGCTACTAATTGACGTGGAAAGAGCGTCGACTATAGATGCACGAGATGCTTTTCCGAGGGCCTGCAGATGAAGACAAATGCCAACCAATGATCGATGCATCATCTTATGCATCTACTCTGCTGCAGATCGTGTCTGTGGCTCTATACATCGGGTGGTATCAAATAATAAACTCTGGTTTTGGATTTGTCGTTTGGCGATGGTGGCTTTCGGTGTACACGTGTTTGTGAGATCATCACATGTAAAATGCTGCGCACAGGGAATGAAATAGTGTCAAAGAGTCCCAGTCCTGTTGTCAACTCGATTGTGCTCCTTTAATACTTTTCCAATTACATTTCTTCAGCTCGATCTCGATCAGAAAAACCTTTCAGGCCATTGTACACTTTTTTGGTCTCCTTTTGCTGTGTTTGTACGAATGGATGGGTTACGCGACGCATCGTCATTGTACGCTTGCATTCGACGTTGGTGCAATAATGTACGCACGCAGCTTACGCATGCGTACAACAAAATGCAATAGAATAAAGCAGCTGGAATAGCGCCGCGCGGACAGAAACATTGACTGTAATTGTCGAAGCGGCGGAGAAGGTCGGTATTCTCGCGGTATCTCAGCCGGCGAAACTCCCTTCTCGATCGATCTGGACGGTAGTTTCACCCTGAACTTCACCAAAATGAAAAGAGAAAGCTCACTTTGCATTTGCAGGATAAGTGGGGTCGAAGGCGTTTATACTGAGTCTAGCGCCAGTATTACAGCTTCCCTGCGTCTCACAAGGTCAACTTGTTCACACCGTCAACATTGCAGTGTGGCTACAGAAGGCGATCTCGTAATTGCGTGTGGCTGGTAACTCTGTGATCGAATCCGCCAATGATTGGATCGAAGCAGTCAGCATATGCAGCTCAGTTGTGACGGAGAGTGTTGATATACAGCCAGTTCATTTGCGAAGGATCGATTGAACATGGGACCGTCGAGTCAGCTGACGATCGACGCGCTGGACAACGGTTTGTACAAGTGCTCACCCATCGGATGTCAAACCCGTTGACATGGGTACGACCAAAAGTCTGAGGAGGTGCCAGTAGCAACAAAAAGAGGCTCGTGCTATTCCCGATCGACACGAGCATCTTTTTGTTTGCGTTCCGGTTCACAACATCGAACAAACCTGTGGACATTTGAGCGCTTCGACTCCATCAACTCTCGTGCAGCAAAAGGCGGCACATTAGCTCCACTTCTGCAAGCCAATGACTTCTCGTCTCTCTACGAATATGTTGTGGTCTGATGATGGGAGTCTCATTGACCTGCAACCGATGCAAAGAGATCGTTGTGCGTAACTTCGGTTCCCAGATCATAGTTGTCAGCGATCGTCGTCTGAGAACTTGGTGCTCTTTTCGTCGTCAACGGACGAAGCAGTACGCACTTTGTCGAAAGCCATGGGCTTAGCACGTACGATATCGCTCGTCACTTCGACCTGCACTGCTGCTCCACAAAGTTGCCAATGACTTGCGCTCTTTACGCCTAGGGCTGCATGCACATATCGTACGCGGTCACCAAAGTACCCGCCATAAATAGCTCGACGGATTCTCTCGTGCAGATAGTAATCATTTCGATATGTGCAAATAAAAATCATTCTGTATCGTATCGCGCTATCTGCCCTTGTTGTCCGATGCAGAGATCACGTGTCTATCCTAACACACAGCTCGGGAGCTCGTTAGAAACGTACACCACGTGGTCCACACGTAACCTCCTCTTTCTATTGGCCCCAGCCAGCCGCCCAGTTCCGCCGGACCGAAGTAACTAACACCCGTCAACAAAGCACTGATCGCCACTCAGTCAGTCAGTCAGTCTATCTGTCTGTCTGTCTGTCTGTCGTCCCCAATGGCGTTTTCCTTCGGGGCCACGACCGCGACCCCCGCGGCCTCCTCCGGCTTCAGTTTCGGTGCAGCGCCCGCCCCAACTTCGTCGTTCGGCTTTGGCGCGAGCGCATTGGGAGCCACAGGCGCCTCGAGCGGCTTCACTTTCGGTGCACCTCCTGCTGCTGCTGCTGCTACTTCAGCCGCGCCTTCGAATGGCTTTAGCTTTGGCAACACGGCCGCGTCGACAACGCCTTCGAATGGCTTTGGCTTTGGCGCTCCTGCAGCACCGTCTGGCGGCGCTGCGGGCTTTGGCTTTGGGTCGGCTTTCACGTCAATGCCGCAGCAGCCGACGGGCGGACTGGGAGGCTTTACCTTCGGCACACAACCACTTGCTGCGCCACAAGCCGCGTGCGTGACGACGGATCTTGCAACTCGATTGGTCGACGTGACGTTTCTAATGGAAAAACGCGTTTCTGTGCTGCTGCTGTTTGTTTGTTGTGTGTGTTGTGTGTCTGTGTGTGTGCGTCTCTATTGTTTTTTTTCGAGCGGCAGCGGTCCTCCAATCACGTTGGAGACGGCGTTTGAAGAGCTGCCGGACGCGGTCAAGACGAACATGATGCAGTTCCATGCGTTTCTAAAAGAGCAGGACCAGCTGGAGGCGTTTCTAAAGACGGTCTCCTCTCGTCCACTTGAAGCGCTGCGGGAAAACATGGCGCGGCTGGAGCAAGAAGTGCTGGTCCGCCGCAACCGGCAGGACCGTCAGAAAGCTGCTGTCCAGCACGTGCGGCACGACGTGCGCCAGCTGCTGCATCAAGTGGATGCCGCGACACTCACTCGCCGAAGTCTGGACAACAGCAGCAATGGCAGTGCACCGAACGTGTACCATGTCATGCGGCGCGTGGAGATGCCGTCACGGTACTACTGGGAGCTGCTCAGCCACTACGAGCACAAGATGGCAGCAATCAAGGCGCAGATTGAAGACGTGGAAGCGCAGGTCAAGCCGCTGTATGATAACCGGCAGGATGGCGCTGCGAACGGCACGGGGTTCCCCGTTCCGGTCCAGCTACAGCACATTCTGCTCGCACAGAATGCTGCACTGATGCAGGCTGCTGCTCGTGTGGCTGAAGTCCATGAGAAAGCTGAAGAGATGCGGCAGCTGTTTCTGGCCAAGATGCAGGCAGACATGGCTCGACGCGGCGACAAGAACGTCGCTGCTTTTCAGAACCCGTTTGACAAGCGCAAGAAAAACAGCGAGACGGACAAGCGGCAGGCGATTGACAAGATTCGCTTCCGCACAAGTGTTGCGCCCACGATCGTTGCACCGCAACCAGCAGTAGCGACTCCTGCTGCTGCTGCACCCGCTTTTGGATTCGGCGCCGCGACGCCTGCAGCTGCTCCTGTGAGCGGGTTCGGTTTTGGCGGGTCGTCTGCTCCAGCCAAGACGGTGTCGTTCAATCTCACGGGCACGACGACCACGTCCGTCGCACCTCTTGCCACAACCACCAGCATCGCGGCTGCACCGCCGTCGGCAGGATTTACGGCGACAGCTCCTGCAGCTGGAGGGTTTACAGCCCCCACAATAGCCACGAGCGGTTTTGGCAGCGTCACTTCGTCGTTCCTTCCGCCTGCTACAGCCGATGGTAAGACGTCAGTCGGCTCGAAGCGCAGTAGCGGACGTGCGCAGAAGAAGCGGTAGGATCGATAGACGCACCAAACAAAGCAAGTACCGCACGGTGATGAAGCCAATATATTTGCTACACAACAAAAGGTGTGCGAATAGTTGACCAGCTCGTCGTCCGAGCTGGACAAGACAAAACAAGTGCGCTGCAATGAAGTGCGACTTGTAGTAACGAAAGCGCCAAGACCAACTTGACTATGTACAACCCTCGGTGGCCCACCCACCCACTCGCTCGCTCACTCACTTACTTGGAGCAGGGAATGAACTTCACGCTGCTCATTGCCTTGCCCATCGATGCCAGCACTTCCAGCACGTCCTTGTTTGCAATACGCCACGTCGAGTCCAGCAGGCCCTGCGCCGTAGCGTTCGAGTCGTCAGGCGACGGGTACGGCCACGACGTGTCGGGGTTCAGCGTCCACCAAAACCCGCCAGCCAAATAAGGCTCCGTCGAGCCTGTCATCTGCGAGATGATGCTCTTAATGATTCGCGTGCTCGTCTGTTTAGCCGTCGCATCCAAGTCGCCCATGAGACCACCAAAGGACGAAAGCACCACAGCACTGCCCGTGTCAAAGGCTGCGCCGAACGAGTAGTTCATGTTCAGCTGCACGTTCGCCAGCAGGTCTGCATCTGCGTATTCGACGTACTCTTCCAGCAAGTCACCGTTCGTTGCACCATCCTCGAAAAAGAACAACCGAGGGATGTACGAGCTCGAAAAGTACTTCGGCGCGTACACGACCTTGTTGTCCTTCTTTAGCTTGATGGGGTTCTCAGTCAGACCCGAGAGATCTGAGCCAGGCAAAAAAGTGTTCTTGATCGCACGCTCGCCGTACGTGTCTTTGTGGCTCTCGCCCTGCACACCCTGCACGAACGCCAGCCACTTTGGACATACCTTCAGCATGTGATTTCCCAGGTCCGTTGCTGCGACCGACCAATCCGTGTCGGACCCGTCCCCCCACGTCGCGTCCTTCATCGGACCATCCTTGAGGTCAATACCGATGATATTGAAGTGCGTCGAGTCACACAGAGCCTCCGCCAGGTTCGAGATAGCTGTCTTGATGTCCACCAGCTTAATGGACGGGCCGTACCACAGCCCCGAGCCGTCGTCGTTCAACGCCGACAGGACATGAAAGTCCAGCACGACGCCAATGTTGAACTGGCCCAGTCCTTGCACCAGCAAGCCCAGCAGCGTGTTGTAGCGCGAAGCAGTGGCCAGCGCCCGGTTCGAGTTGGTGTTAATGAGGTTCGTGTCAATGTCCGTATTGCGCATGACCGCGTCAATAGAGAGCGGAAAGCGCACAACGTTGAACTTGTTCAAGTGCAAAAAGTGCGCGTAGCGGTACAGCGAGTTGCCGTCCGCCTTGTTGTCCCACAGTCCCTTGGGCACGCCCTTGACGTCTTCCATGCCTTTCCAATTAATGCCCTTGATGTCAATCTGAGTCGAACTGCCGTCGGCCAATTGGGCAAAGATGCGACCGTTCTTGCTGACGTAGTTGGGCTGCTCGCACTTTCGGTCCGTGTACGTCTTGGGGTTCGTGATCGCCAGGTCCGACGTGCGGTCCCTCGGCTGCCCATCTTTGATCTGCGTGCCGTCTGTGAACTTGGCTTCAGTCGCCGCTTCGCTGTTGGCCTCGGTCTCGTTCACATTGTCGTGCACTTTGATGCCATAGTACGTGAGGCCCGCGACCGAGACAACAGCCAACAGCAGCAGCGCGAGTGCTCCTGGCCAGGTCTGATTTGCAAAAAAGACACGACGAGAGAGACACAGAGAGAGAGAGAGAGAGAGAAAAGAACAAACCCCAAAACGACAGACAGACCCACCAAAACACCAAAACACACACAATGAGTTCCAAAATCAAACCCCATCGAACAATAGACATAGAAATGGGCCATTCCACACAGTATCCGATCTGTCTGGTGCAGCGGTGAGATCGAGCCAACACGTACCGATCGACGGCCGCGATAGCGCGCCTTCTTGCCGGCAAACGTCGTATCGACGTCAGCCGCTGCGATGATGCGCTCGACTTCGGAGCTGCGGCCGCCCGAGAACGAGCCTCGACCGGTGCCGCTCATGCGTCCCGAGCTGCTCATGAAGACGGAGGGGCTCGAGTGGGGCTAACTGGCTGACTGGCTACGTACTACGCACGTCTGCGTTCGTTCGGGAGTAGAATAGAGTCTGCCGTATGGCGGGCGGCGAGTGGCGGGTTGCAGGAAGCGTAACGGACGACGGGTCCGTGTCCGGTTTGCGTGTGTGCTGACGGTTGCGCGAAGAGAAACGGAGAGAGAGAGAGAGAGAGCGAAAGGGGTTGAGTGATCGACTAACAGACCGAAAGCGAGTCGCTGTGGAATGCAGCAAGAGGGCTAGGGCGCGCGAGTCCCACGCAACGAAAGAAAACCGCCTCAAATATCCTGTGGTCTGTCCCATGGGAGTCACTAACCGACATCTGCACTCGAGTGGCGTTATGATGACGGCGTTATGATGATGATGGGACTCGCCTTTTGTTCATCGATCGGTTGATTGGCCGCTTGATTGATCGGCTTATCTTTCGGTCTGATGCACTCGATGCAGCAACTGCTCGGATCTTTTTTTCTCAGTCTTTTTGTCGGGCGTCTCTTCATGCGAACGCATGACGCACGCAAGAAAAAGTCGTCGAGACATCTGCGTGAGATGCGATTTTCTCTCACGAGATTTCAGCAGACGAACGAACCCAAAGCTGAAAAATCTCGAGACGTGTCGCAGATGAGCAGCTGAAAAGAAATGAACCCACTCGCGGCTCTGACGTGGAAATCGTCGGCTGACGCGGCTCGACTGGACGATCGTCAGTCCTCCGCTGTCGATTCACTTGAACAAACTATGGCTCTGTAAAATCCGTGACGATTTCGGAAGCCCACATTGGGTTGCGAACTGTAGCGTGACGACATGGCGTGAGTTGCTTCCTAGAGTCATAGCTATTGCACAATACAACGTCCGAAATGCTACAAGCACAATCGATGCAGCGTTTCTGGCTACTCACAGTGAGTCGTGGCACAATGGCGACAGTCCAGAGCTCCAGCAGCAACAACATGATAGCAGTACCGCTTGTAAGTAGACGACGTGACTACGATGTTGTCATTCATGTGTCTGGCCAGCATACAGCGTGCAGTCTTTGACTCTAACGACGATATATCTGGCGTGACAACATCTACCGATGATGCAGCGTTACAAGCGTTTTCTCTCTTGCATTGTCATTCACGCGCTGCATAGCGTCTGCCAGCAGCGGATGAACTTTTGGTGCGGCGAGCCAAAAGAGTCAGGTCAACAACCACCTGTCGCATTCTCTGATGCAACGGAGCAAGAGAGTGGAAACGATCTGAATCGTGAAGAAACGCAACGAGAAAAAGGAGACGAGAGGCTGTTGTTGTCGTGGGTCACATCACGGTATCGGCCTCCGCAACTTTGTGCTCTGACAAGCACTTTGTCGTCAGCATTGGTGACGACTAGCGACATTGGAACAACTCGTAGTCTTTCAGTCCCGTGTGTGCATGTGTGTGTAGTCGTGTGGAAATAACTAGATGCGGTCATGTGACGAGCGTTCCGGCGAAGAAAGCAATACAACATATTGGAATAAAAGGCACAGTACTACGCAGCCATGAGACGTCCGAAACGCGAGTATCGAAAAAAGCGAATCCGTCTCATGCGTATACGTATATACGTCGTCAAGACTCCACTCCACTCGTTGGCGTCAGCCGCCCTTTTCGTTTTGTACCCATCCAGTCTGCCCCATCTTTGGGCACATAACAGGCCCATCGCACATCAAGTGCGGGTTGGCCATGATCAGAGATCCTGAGACTGCATCACGAGAGTCCGTCACGACGTCCATCGCTTCCTCCGATACTTTGCGTCGTAGCGCCAACGCCAACGCCAACAGCGATGAGGATTGGCACCGGCTCCAAGTCACGATCCGAGTTTCTCCCGACGCCATGTTGGTACCACGCGCTCAATTGCTCTGTGTTGACCGCTTCTGTAGTGAAACAACGAGAAAGCGACTAACCCAAAGTCTGTCTTCTTCTTCTCTTTGACTCCCTGTCGCTGTCTTCTTTTCTGGCTTCTTCTCCTCGACCCATTTGGTTGATCGACCAGCTCGGCCATCGAGATATGACGGCAGCGTGGAAGTTGTTTCTATGTGGGAATGGCTCGCCCACGCACCATTTGGGACTACTTACGGGCTCGTTGACCGAAGTGGATGTGCTTGGCATGCGTTCAGTGGGCGCGAGCTTGGACAACGCACCGTCAGAGGTCGAGGCGATTGCTGCACCACGTTGTCGACGTCAAGTGTGGCTACGAAATGCTCGAGGCGAGCGTCTGGGCTACGCCGCGTCGTGGATCAATTTCGACGACGTCGGCGCCGTGTTCAAGGACACGAAGGTCCCCATTGGTAAGAACATTGTGCAGCACAAGACCGAGCTGTACCGCGAGATGATAAGCGTCTTCTGTGGCCACTCGAGTGCCCTTGAGAAGGCGTTTGCCGCGCCGGGACCGTTTTGGGGACGGTCGTATCTTTTCTGGAGCGGTGGACGGCCTGTGACGTTCATCTACGAAGTGTTTTCGCCTGTGCTCGAGCAGTACATGGGCAAAGTGCTGGCATAGACGACGTTGTCGACCAGCTCGAAGTGCTGTACAAAAGAGACGGCCACCTACCACCAAACATCGTACTCACAAGTCATACCATGGCCTCTTGCTCGCCTAGCTAGCACACGAGACTCGTCACAGTCCAGACGCATCCTTCCCGAACTGCTGACCGCGGTCATGCGTCATAAGTATCAATGTGTGCGAAAAGGATGTCTCTATCCATCGTTATCCGTCGTCCAGCCGCTTTACCTTGACGCTGGCCTCACCCCCGTGCTCGAGCTCGCACGCGATCTCACCTGTCTACCGCCCGAGCTTCCCTTACAGCGACATGCGCCACCGACCCTTCTCGTAGCGACGCTTGAGCACTTTGCGGCCCGAAATCGACACTCGACGCGACCGAAAGCCGTGTTTGCGCTTGCGGCGCAGCACACTGGGCTGGTACGTGCGCTTGATCGCTTGCATCGGCTCTGAAAGGGCAGGAAACCAGCAAAAAAGCACATGGCAACAGCACGCAACACAGTGAGCATGAGTGGGTCTCCTCTTCCGCCGCAGCCAAAATATCCGAGTTGGCGCACCGTCGAGACTCTCGCTAGGGCACTCCATCTGAGTGAGTGGCAACAGGATATTGTCCATCAGTACGCGACTGACGCTCGTCTCGAGCTGCAGTGGGTTCAGCATCAACTTCGTTGCTGTCGGCAGCAAACAACAGAACAGAACAGACACAGAGAGCACCACATTGTCGTCGGAGACGAGAGAAAAGTGAATTATCCCATCAGCGAACACAATGGGACAATGAGCGGCACTGACGCTCGTGGCTGATCATCGACAACAGGGACAGCTGCGGCAGTGCGATGCTGGGAGACGCATCGAAGCGGCTTTGACTGGGGATCAGCGACAGAGCACGGACGCTTGGGACAGCTGGTCGCGTGCGCAGACTCGACCGGAGCGCGTTTTTCACCAACATGGCCGCCATTTTGCTTGGACGGCGCTGATTGCGTACGAAATGTCAAAGTAGTGGAGATTGCTAGTGCAATATTTGCATCGGTGAGCGAATAGTTTGACAACCACGAGGACTGGAAAGCGAGCTTTTTTGTGGTTAGGTCACACACGCACGAACGAGGAAACACAGAGACGTTGTCGTGAGGGAGGGACCCGTTGGTTTTGTGTCGGAAGATAAACACGCTTTATTGGACAGAACTACCCTTTCGTGTGCTAAATGAAAGTGTTTGATTGGCCAGTATCGTCGATTTGCGAAAGCTCCGTGGATGTCTGCGACCGAAATCACGCCATAGCAGAGGCGCCACAGCTCCGAACAACTTTTGCAGCAATCGAATGAACAGCGACAGAAGTCAATGTAGCAAAAGCATGACACTTTTTCTCGCCTCAGATAGGAAAAAGCAACGAAAATGAACATGCAGAGGAAGAGATGAGAATACATGACAACGAACGAGCTCGATGTCTAATCAGTATCGACTGCGTGGATGTATGGGATATATGGGTCGGTCCATCACTGCCGCGTCATTCGTATCTACATCTCGTGGAGACGCTGAGAAGCATTGCATCACGTTCTTGTTGTATCGACTATGGACGGATCATCAGACTTTGCTGCTTTGCCTCGCCGTGTTGCGTCGACCATTCCGGCAAGACAGCTAGTGCAAGAGCTATCGGATCTCCTTTTCCTGCTTCCTCCGTGTGAAACAAAATACACTTGGTAGACCCTTCCGCGATTGCACCGGATGCACGCTTTGTGTGGACCCTTTCTGCAGGTTATAGAAGTTATCGCGATATCCCGTACATCATCTCCAGCGGCTAGCGTCAGCAACGTCGCTCTCTGCAGCTTGCTTATCGAGGTCAAATAAGTAAGCTGGTATGCCAAGCACCGGCGCATCCAATGGTTTAGGTCATGACTTGTGCTCGCAAGCACCGTTCACCGCTATGGGTGTGCGGCTTTGCAATGGGTAGTAGTATACCACACTTGTCAGGTACAGTAATGCTTCCACGGTGTTTACTTGTCCCAGCAACAAACTAGTGTAATGAAAATTGTTTTTCTGTCCCAGCAACAAAAGTAACGCATGGCCCGAATCCCGCCGACTGACGTGTCATTTTTTATGTATATCGTAACTTAGTGCGTATCTTTTTACAAGTCGCGAAACCCAAAAAGAGCTGCGAGGCTGCTGCCACGCTCGAATGAGTGTCAGTAAGTGCACCAGTGCGATATTCTTCCATCCGTTCGTTTCTAAATCACCACCGATAGAAACCCACCGCGGCATCCCGATCGAGACCCACAACGATCAGTCGCTACGTTCGGGCATATTGCAGGCCCCGCAGTAGCCGCCCACGCGTTTCTATTCCTCCTTGCGCGACAACAAAACCACTCGACATAAAAAGCAGTTTGTGTCCGTGCCCGCGCGCGGCTACTGCGCCCGACTCCATCCATCGACACACGCACCACACTCGATCGAAGAAGAATGGCCACTACGACTGCTACTGCTACCGCCACTACGACTGCCACAGCGGACATGCCGCCGAACCACACGCTGTACGTGAACAACCTGAACGACAAGATCAAGGCCGACCGCATGAAGGCCACGCTCTACGCGACGCTGTCGCAGCACGGCAAGATCCTCGAGATCGTCATGGGCCGCGCACGGCGGCTACGGGGCCAAGCGTGGGTCACGTTCGACGACATTGCGAGCGCGTCCAATGCACTACGTGCGACGAACGGGGCGATGCTCTTTGAGAAGCCCGCGGTGATCGCCTTTGCCAAGGACAAGGCCGACGTCATTGCCCGGCGCGAGGGCACGTTCGTCCCGCGCGAGAAGCGGCCGCGCGAAGCCCCAGCGGCGCAAGCGCCGGTCGCGAAGAAGCCGACGGACGCCAAAGCGGTGGCAACAGGAGCGGGGGCAAGCGCTGCTGGTGCAACTGCAGCGGGTGGGAGCGGCTCGTCGTCGGTGCTGCTGCCGCCGCCACCGCCGTCGCAGAACGTCCCGAACAAGATTTTGTTTCTACAGGAGCTGCCCGAGGTGTGCACGCAGGAGATGCTGAGCGTGCTGTTTAAACAGTACCAGGGCTTTACGGTACGGCTGGTCGTGTGCGAGATGTGTCGAGGACGTGACTGACTGGAAGACTGATGTGGCTACATGCTGGTGTATGGTGGCGCTTTGGTGCTAATGGCGGGTCTGTTGCTACTCTTTTTTGTCATTGCGTGGTGCAGGAGGTGCGTATGGTACCAGGCAAAAAGGGACTGGCGTTCGTCGAGTTTGGCGACGAGGCGCAGGCGGCCATTGCGCTGCAAGGACTGTTCGGCTTCAAGCTCACGCCCACAGATACACTCAGGGTCTCGTTTGCCAAGAGATAGACTGGCATGGAATATGGAGAGAGAGGGTTTGCAGGGGTTAACTCAAGACACACCCGTGCACGTCGTCGTTCATCCAGCGTGTTGGCTTTGCTGTTCTCGTTGACAGTAAGGTCCTTTGTGCGACGGACAAGTAGGGAAGAATACAGCACTTACGCACACGCACACTCATACTCACGCAAACAAGCCACTGACTGCTGGAAGAACGCCGCTGGATTCGGCGCTCGCATGTAGGTAGGTAAGTATGTCTGTAGTATGAATTGAGGTCTGCATGTAGGTAGCTTTTTCGTGTGCAGGTACTTCCGTCTGTAGGTTGTCGGTTGGTGACGATATGTGCACACATGCAGGTAACGATATATCTTTTGGCAGACGTACATAGGAATGCATCAAGGTTTGACGATATGTGTGTAGGTATGCATGTCTTTGCGTAGGTGAGTAGCTACGAGCGTAGCTATGTATGCTAGTAGGTTTGCTAGCAGCCATGCTCGTAAACGAGTCTGACCTACGTGGGTCATACGCATGTCTCCCTGACTGCGCGAAAACACCCCAGCCCTAAATCATCTAGTCGTCAATCTCTCACCACCCCCTCCAATCCCGTCCTGCACATATAAACAATCATCCAAGCATCCATCCACCCCTAGCATCATCCACTTCAAGCATCCACCCAACCACCATCCACCCACTCCCGTATACACACACACAGATGCCACCCACCCACTCACCCGTCCGCCAGTCCGCCACTCCCTTCCAGTGTATCTATCTATCTATCTATCTATCTATCGATCTATCTATCTATCTATCGATCGATCTATCTATCTATCTATCTATCTATCTATCTATCTATCTATCTATCTATCTATCTATCTATCTATCTATCTATCTATCTATCTATCTATCTATCTATCTATCTATCTATCTACCCACCCACTCACTCCGTCCAGCGTCCAGCGAGCATGGCCGCCCCCGCCCTCGAAGCGCGCGCGATGGCGCTAGCCACCAACTCGCCCGAGCAGCTCGCGGCGCACCTCCGCGTCACGCAGGGCCGCGTGCGCACGCGCTTCCCGCCCGAGCCGAACGGCTATCTCCACGTCGGCCACGCCAAGTCCATGCACATGAACTTCTCGGAAGCCTTTGAGAAGCTCTGCGTGCCGCCCGCGCAGCGCGAGACCATCTTCCGCTACGATGACACGAACCCCGAGGCCGAGAGCTGCGAGTTCGTCGACGCCATCGCCGCCAACGTGCGCTGGTTGGGCTACGCGCCCACGCGCGTCACGTACAGCAGTCAGTACTTTGATACGCTCTACGACTTGGCGCAGCAGCTCATCCGCAAGGGCAAAGCCTACGTGTGCCACCAGAGCAAAGCCGAGATCGAAGCCTCGCGGCTCGTGCTGCAGCAAGTCCACGCGGCGTCGGGCGCTTCCCCCAAGACCGAGCAGGACGTCCCGGACGCGGGCAAGTCGCCGTTCCGCGCGCGGTCCGTGGCCGAGAACGTGGCGGCCTTTGAGCTCATGCGGCGCGGCGGCTACGACGAAGGCGAAGCGTGTCTGCGCATGAAGATGGACCTCGGGAGCCCGAACCCCAACATGTGGGACCACGTGGCCTACCGCATCAAGTTTGTCCCGCACCCGCACGTGGGCAACGCGTGGTGCATTTACCCCACGTACGACTACACGCACTGCATTGTCGACGCGCTCGAGCACATTGACTACTCGATCTGCACGCTCGAGTTTGAAACGCGGCGCGAGTCGTACTACTGGCTGCTCCATGCGCTCGACCTGTTCAAGCCCAACGTGTACGAGTTTGCGCGCCTCGCCATGACGTACACGGTGCTGAGCAAGCGCAAGCTGCGCCAGCTCGTCCTGTCCAAGGCCGTGCGTGGCTGGGACGACCCGCGCATGGGCACGCTCGACGGGCTGCGTCGTCGCGGCTTCACGCCCGAGATCATTAAGCAGTTTTGCAAGGAGATTGGCGTGACGCGCGTCCAGTCGACGATCCAGATCGAGCGGCTGCACTCGGTGGCCCGGAACGTCCTCGGAGACTCGTCGAAGCGCGTGATGGCCGTGCTGGACCCTGTCGAGCTGGTCATTGAGAACTACAGCGAAGCACCTGATGAGAGCGCGCTGTGTTTGCGCGTACCGGACTACCCACAGGACGTGGACCGCGACGGTGGGAAAGCGTACCATAACGTGCAGTTGACTCGCACCGTTTTGCTGGACCGCAGCGACGTGCGCACGGAAGACGCGGACGACTTTTTCGGCGTCGCACCAAACAAACAGGTGCGGCTGAAGTACGCGTTCCCACTCACGTGCACAAAGCTCGAGACCGATGCGAGTGGACGCGTGACAAAGGTGCTTGCTCAGATGGACTGGACACATGCAGCAAAGCCCAAGGGCGTGCTCTCGTGGGTGCCAGCGAATAGTCCCGAGGTGGAAGTGCGTGTGTACTCCCATCTGTTCACAGTCCCAGAGCTCCCGAGCGATGTGGACGACTGGGAGTCGTTTGTGGACTCGAAGAACTCGGAGCGCGTGTTTCCTGCCGCGCGCATCGACCCCGAGTCCCACGCCAGGAACTTGGACAGCATTGTGCAGTTTGAGCGCATTGGCTACTTCGTGCCGGAC